AGTCTCCAGCTCCTCCACGTCCATCTATCGATCATCCCAACATCACCAATGAGGAGGAGGAGGAGGAGGAGGAGGAGGAGGAGGAGGAGGAGGAGGAGGAGGAGGAGGAGGAGGAGGAGGAGGAGGAGGAGGAGGAGGGAACTTACGACGCAGAAGGGAGCAGCGATGAGTAGGGAGTCGAGGGCGAGGTGCCAGGAGTTGCTCGCCGAATGGCAGTGAGAAATCTTCCAGACGAAGTAGGAGAACTTGCGGTAGCACTGCATGTCGAATGCAAGCAGCGCCATGCAACCGAGGACCGCGATCTGAGGTGACGATAAGAAGTGACGAGAGGAGGAGGATCGATGAGCAGTGGGAAGGAGGGAGAGAAACGGACCTGATGGGGGAAAGAGGAGGGGGGGGGGCAGTACGAAACGTGGTTCGGGGAGATGGGGGGAGGGGGAGAAAAAGGAGGAGGAGAAAGATAAAAATACTTGATCTGGAATCTGTAGGTTCCCGAGGATACCTTCCACTCTTGAAAGGATCTGAATTCGCTCCTGTTAGTTGCTCTTGCATGTTTTGAGCAGAAGCAAGTAAGCAAGTAATGAGATGTGATAGGGGACCAATTGAGGAGTTGGCAGGGGGAGGAGGGGGTGTGCGAGGGTGCTGTGGTAGTGAACGAGAGCATCTACCGCAAAAACTTCACTTCGGCCTCCCCAAGGTAGAACTCGAGGGCACGTTGCCTCGGGGGCCTCGTCAAGTTCGCTGAAGGAGTCGGAGTCGAGCCCGTCCAAAGTCCTCCCGCACGCGACGTAGTGAGCAAAGCGGAGCAGCGCCTGGCACTGCAGATAGTATGCCCTCCTCTTCTCGTACAGGGACGCTGCCTCCAGCAGCATGTCACCTACCTCATCCCCCCCCTGCAAGCAGCCACAGGGTCAGCAGCAGCTCACGACAGTAAGAGGAGGAGTACATCTTCTCTCTCCCTATCCGTGCCCGACATTCTCCCCAGGTTCCCGCTGGACACCGAGGACACGCCGACGCTCGGCACAGCCTTTGGGTCGCTGCCGTTGAACAGGCTCCCATGCCGCGGCCGGCCATGCATGGAGGGAAAGGAAGTGCTCAAGCCTGCGAAGCCTTCCAGCGCTGCTGCCTGCGAAAGGAGGGGGGGGGGGGGGGGGGCAAAAAATAGGAGGGAAAAAAAAAAAGAAGGACCTGCCCCAGTAGGTCCCCCCTGCTCCTGGAAAGCTCGATGGCATGAAAGTATCGGATCGCCGCGTCTCTGTTGCAGCCCGCCAGGAAGCTCAGGTCCGCTTGCCGCTTGCAGACTCGTCCCGGCCCCCTCTTCTGCATCACCTTCTTATCCCGAGCATCCCCTCCATCGTTTGGGGTGATGAGCCACGGCAGCTGGGCTTCTGCTGACACCACTCGCTGCTCCAGCCCGTGCAGCAGCTCGGATCCTACCGTGCGCAATACCTCCATGATGCCTTGCGGTACCTCCCTCTCCTTGCCTTCACCATCGAACTCCTCGTCGTTGACAAAGTGCAGCGTCTTCCCCACCAGCCCTCCAGCTAGGATCTCACGGTGTTCCCCGGGCTCGATGGCGATGCAGTGGACGCTGATGGCTCCCCGCCAGACGTGGCTGCTCTGCACGTCATGGAGGAACGACTCCCATGCTGACAGGAAGTCGTCTGCCTCGGGACAGTAGCAGATCCCGACGACTGCCAGCACCTGCCTGCTGGCTTGCAGCGAGTCCCAGGGGCTGTTGGAGTAGCCCACGTCCACGAACAGGATCCGGAGCTGCCCGTAGTCTGCGAGGCCCTCGCTGAAGGGGAACGCGTGCGACGAGGCTGACGAGACCTCCGTCCGGTCAACCACCCGCACATCGATGCTCCTCACGTCAGTCAGGACCCTCGCGTACCTCTCGAAGCGCTCAGGAGAGATTCTGCCAACGGGCATGAGCGCGACGCGGACCTGGTTGCCATCCAGCACATGCAGCGACCGCGCGCCCTCTGCTGCTGACATGCTGCTCTGCTCCTCGTTGCGACCCCTACATCGTCGCCATCCCTCGGCAGCGCATGCCGTCAATCATCTCCGCCCACACCGAGCCTTCTCCTGTTCTGCAACTTGTCCCGTCATGGCCTGTGGCTTGACACCATCAAGTCAGATGCGGCAAACACACCCGACAAGAGAGCTTCCTTCACATGCTGACAGAACCACACACCACACGTCTTTTCTCGCTCATTTCACTTCGCGCTGTCGCTACGTTGCTGAGGCATGCAGATCGTTGTCGAGGTTTTCCTGTGTTGATCACTCCATGGTTTCTACCTCTCCCCTTCTCTACCCTCTCACCCATCCTTTCATCGTAAAACTGCGTCTGACAGCATGCCTCCACCCAACATCTTTATCGCTTTCATGCTGCTGTTTCTCATTTCTCATGTTCACCTCCCTTGCTCTCATCATATCTCACCCCAGCTGTCCTTCAGTTCACTCATGTCCTCTCCTGGTTTCTCCCCCTCGCTTCCTCGCTTCTCCTTCTTTGTCTTCTTCTGGTTCTGGTTCTGATTCTTTGTCTCCTCCTCCCCACCCACCCCCCGTCTCCTCCTCCTCCTCCTCCTCCTCCTCCCTCTTCCTCCCTTTCCCCTCCTCCTGCAGTCGCAACCAACACAGCCCGCCTCACCATCCGTCAGCCACGGCACGGTTGCGTAAAGGCACGGTTCAAGTGCCGCGGCCCGGCCCGCCACCCCGCGCCGGGCTGCCGATCGGACCGTATCGGACAGTGCCCGTGGACTCAGCCTACTCCGAAAGTTGCCAGTGCCAGTGCCACCGCGGGCCGCCACCGTGTGACGCACCGTCTCGTACTGATCTTTAGCTTAACTTTGAGTCAAAGTCTGAGCCTGTCACACAGGCGGGGGGCCCTGGTTCAGCGAGCTCGGCCCGGCCTGTGACAGTGCCAGGCACCGGGACGGTGCCGGTGGCCCCTGAGTCCGTCCCTGCCGTCCGAGTTCGAACTGAACTTCGGAACTCAAGTTGTGACTTGTTCAATTGATGCCGCGGGCAGTGCCGCCCTGGACCAGGTAGTCCCAGACCCTCAGTGATTCCGCCCGGCGGGAACCCGCCACCGTCCGGCGCCAGCCGGGCCCCGGGGTCCACCCGCCGGGCCCGGTCAGCCCGATCGGACCGATGGGACTGAAATTGATGCCGGGCCAGCTGGGAATCCTTCACAAGAACCCTCGGTGTGAAGGACCACAGAAAAAGTAACCCCCACCCCCTTTTGATCAACAAACACTGCAATCCCTGGTCAATTTCCACAAGTACCCCCCATTCCTAATGATATTCGTTGGTAAAGTACCCTGCTTTCCTCCTCATCAGACGTACTATGTACTACCCCCTACTGTCAGTACCCCTTACAAATCACTACCCACCCATGGAACACAGCCGTACGGTTTCATGGCAGACTCTAGCGAAAGCTATGGATGGGGAGGCCCGAGAAAGGAGGAAGAAAGGGAGGAGGAGGAGGAGGAGGGAGGAAAGGAGGGAGAGGAGAGAGGAGGGAAAGTGAAGTGAGAGGAAGACGAGAGAGAGGGAAAGAGGTGTATCGGCAGGGAGGGGGGATGCTTCGGAAGGATCCATAAAGTGGGGGAAAGGGACGAGCGAAGGAGCAACGAGGAGTGGTAGGTGAAGGCAAGGAGCACAAGAGAGCAGTATATGATGAAGGAGGAGAGAAGGAACAAGGAAAGAAACAAGAAAAGATCAAGTGCGGGGGCAGCCAGTTCATTAGACTTTGAGTTTGAGACAAAGTATGAAGCCATGACTCTGATAGAGGATTTGGAGGATTCGAGTCTTAGGGTTCCGGTAGGTATATAGGATTCTGCCATGTACGTTCACAACGTCAGATATTCGTGTACCTGTCGTTGCCTGAGAAAACTTGACGTGGATAGACGAAATGAACTGATGAGGTTCGAGGTGACATGTGATGGTTCCGCAACTCCGCATTCATCTGACATCTGACAACACCTTGAAGGAGCATGACGTTGCTGTTTGTTGCAGATGTCCATATCAAAGGTGACTGGAATCCTCTTGAGCCTGGGCATCAACGACGAGCTGAACGCGCTCTTCGATAGCCTGAGCTCGGAGGACTCTTTCTTGCGCAGACAAGATGAGGTCCTAGAACGCATCTCCCTGCAAGACCAGAACGAATACAGCATCTGGTCCGACTCAATCTTCCTGCCCTTGCTGTTTGCTAGCCTTGCACAGTCTACACGCCCATGTGACGTGCTGGAGTGCGTCCAAAACTGTCAAGCGAAGCATGCGGCAGAGTGGGGAAACAAAAAGGCAACAGGAAGGTACCTGATAGAGCAGTACCGAAAGTCAAATCAGGCACCCAAGGCCTTTGCGCAGCACTTCCCTATCGAAAGATCTTTGGAAGCTGCCAAGACCTGGATCCAGGGCTCGCTGAACAGCTCTGAGCGATGTTTGTCCACGTGGAGCAAGCTCAACGCAAGCCCAGACGTGTACTTCATGGACCTCTCGGTCGGTGACGTGCAGGAACAAGAAATGTTCAAGCTGTTGGCGGGGCCTGACGGGAGCTGGATTCGGGTGGTTCGCATCAACGAGGGCAAGGATGACCAGGACCGCACGCTGGGGTTGCTGGTGCTGCTGTCAGCCCCGGAGGAGATCAAGCTCCTGATGGAAAAGTCGGATGAGCTGGAGAAGGAGATCATGGAGCAGGACTGCTCTGAGCGCCCCGCAAGGATTGAGCTACGAGGAAGGGGAGGGTGCAATCGGTACAGAACAGCAATCGAGATCGAGATCGTGGATCTGAGTGACCTGACGGAACAGGAGTTCCTGGATGAGGTCAGGAAGGCATTTCGATGCAACACGCGGACTAGCCCTGTTGGAATTCAGCTGGACAAGATCGAAAAGATCCAACTGGTGGAGGTTGACATACCTGGGGTGACGGAAGGGGAGCCGATTGGGGACGACTACTTCGAAAAGATAGTGCGACTGTACAGAAAAGCTGAGAGCGGCAGCAGGGAGCAAGGGAGCCAACTGCTGTTGAAGTTCGAGGTCTGGGCGACCAAGGTTGCATCGGGCGAGGAGAGCGAGGAGAACGAGGAGGCTGAAGCAGAGGAGGTTCAGGAGATCGACCCGCTGGGGGTGGTGCATCCCGAGCAAAGAGCAGTGGCTCGCAGGATCCTTGGGAGGCTCAAGTATGTTTTGGAAGGGAGGGGGTATGAGCTATCTCAGTTCAAGAAGCTTGACTTTGCCGTCTTGCTGCCCAACTTCGTGTCGTTGAAGCAGCAGACGGAGGCTCGCATGCAGGCGACCTTGTACCCCAACATGGACGTAGACGTAGACAAGAAGGTGGTCCCGCTGCAGGCGAACCCAGTGATGTCGCTCAAGAAGAAAATCCTGAAGCTCGACAGCAGCACGCTCTTCGTCCTCATCTCCGACGAGTCTCACTGGGCGCTGAACAAGGACAGCCCACAGGACCTCATCGTGAACGATCCAGACCTCGTCAAGAAGGCCAACTTCGTCGTCCTCCAGGTCAGCGCGACGCCTTTCGCCAACCTGACCCACCACAGCCGGATACCCGAGCTGTACGTCCGCTTCAAGGACGACGATCCTCACAGTGATGTCGTGGGCACCTTCAACTACTCTCAGGACATGCGACAGCGGACTGACTTGCAGGAGCTGCACGTTGTCAAGTGGAACCTGAGCTCGCAGCCCAGCCGGTCGACCTACTTCAGGCTCGAAGACTTTCTGCGCACCATGCCGTCGCCCACGCTGCTTCACTGCATCCTGGAGCAGGAGCAGGAGCAGGAGCAAAAGCAGCACCGGAGCAGTCGGGCCCGGCGAAACCTGATCAGAGGGGACGATGCTCTGTGCAGCCTGATGCCCAGCAGCAGCCAGAAGCGGAAGAAGGACGACCCAGTGCGTGAAGACTACTGGATCGTCGACTTCCTCTTCTCCATGCTCTACTTCCATCACATCCGATGGGACAGGGAAGCCAAGAGCCTCAAGCCGCTTCCCGGGGACAAAGACGACCTTCGGGAGGAAGTGGCTTCTTTCAACGAGAACGGCCTCGAGAAGGAGTTCCTGCGGTTGGCGGTGCAGGGGAACAACCCAAGGCTGATGATGGTAGCAATGGAGTACTTGAAAGCAGTTGAGAAGGAGCTGGAGGCCGATGACGATGAGTTGTTCAAGTCAGCGTTCGTGTTGAAGCTCAAGGCGGAGATGACAGAGATGAGAGGATCGAGCAGCAGGCAGGAGGAGGAGGAGGAGGAGGAGGAGGAGGAGGAGGAGGAGAGGCGCTTCTGCGGATTCAACGAGACGGATCGCATGCTAAAAGACCTGCTCTCGAGCAAGAAGATCGATGGCGGGCTCTACGGACACATGAAAGTCGTCAGGATGTACAACATCAACTTCGCCGACATGGTCTACGATGCCCTGAAGCTCTACCGCGATCACTTCTTCGATCAGTCCCCACCTCCCTTCGCCATAATCAAGGACTACGGCGGCTCTCCACTCATCGAGTGCATCGAAGATGCTTTCCGCAAGCAGCCGCTGGTGTACAAGAGGGGGAAACCTCCCCAAACGCTCAACTCGATCATTCAGAAGATGCGATCCAAGAACGCAAGTCAGCGGCGGCGGAACAACAGCGGGGAGTACATCCAGTACAAGGATCTGGCAGGCCTGCCTTGCATCCTCCTCCTGATCGAGAAGGGCAGGATGGGCGACACGTTCCCCCAGTCCTTCAACTGTCTTGACATGAGGATCAGGTCCTCGGAGAACACGACGACGTTGATCCAGGTGAGAGAGTGTTGAGTGGTAGAGAGTTGTCAGTGTGTATTGTACAGTCACAAACATCGCATGCTTGATGGAGATGATGCAAATGTTGATGATGGTTGAGGTACCTGGCTCCACAGTGACGTTGGAATACACATGTTCAGTATCAAGATATGCGTATACTGATTGGACGCATGTACACTATTGAGAAACATGTGATGTAAGCAGGCACACTTGTACAACAAGGATTCTGTTCTGATAGTCATGCTGCATGCCATTCCATATGACATGTTTGTTGTTGCATGCTTTATACCTGATGGATATCATCTTGACCCAGCTTTTCACCTCCCTGATCAATCTCGCAGGAGCTCGGACGACTTAGCAGATACGCTGCCCTTTCTGACCCCATCCCCTTCACAGACGTCGAACATGCCCTCCGGATCGCCAAGGAGCAGAGATGGTTCGAGCAGGGCCTCCCGGCTGCCGTCTATGCAGCAGAGGCTCCTGGCGTCAGCACGGGCACTAGGATGGTGGGTGTGGCCTGGAGCTGCGATGGCTGGACGGAAAGAAGCATCCTGAAGGGGGAGGGAGGAGGCAAAAGCTTCAAGATCAGGGAAGGGAACATACTCGTCCTCGAAACCGTCAGGAGCGATCTCGACCTCACCAACTGCATGCTCTTGCACTTTCCGCAGGGCCAGAAGCGCGCCAAGGACTGCCCTCCCTCATGGTCGGACGTTCTCTGCGTCGAGATAGTCGAGCACGAGAGAGGGTCCAACGAAGTTCGCGTCCGCCATCGGTCAGGCCCCTCCCTGTCCAGCTGCAGCGGGCGGTACGTCCTGATGCGAGACACGTCGGCCCTCTGCTTCCTGGCAAGCACGGGCAACTGTCCAGCTGGAGGCGTGCTGAGGACATTCGAGAACGAGCTGCCGTACGCCATCGTGAGCAAGAATCTGCACAGTGCTCTAGAGCGAGCGATCTGGACGGCGGAGGAGTACAGCAGGGAGATCTGGGAGTGCATCAAGTTCAACGCGCCGCTGCACACGCACGTGAAGAAGAAGAGGAGGGGGAACAAGCCGCTCGAGATCAACGAGCGGGTGAACGAGCTGCACGACTACCGGAGGAGCTATGAAGCCGTCTCGAGGAAGGGCTCCGGCAGGGCCACGATCGACCACTGCGACTGGTGCAAGAACGAGGACGTCAGCAAGAGGGGGCAACACTCGCTCCGCTTCCTCCTCTTTGCAGAGTGTCAGATAGGAAAGACGGGAGCCTACCTCCACCTCCTCGACCTCCTCCGCGAGAAGATCGTCGGCAGCCCTGAGCAAGACTTCGCGCACATCCCTCCGGTCCAGCCCGGGTGCCTCCTCGACCCCCGCTGCTCGACCCCGACCTCTTGGACCCACCCGTACTGGAAGGATCTAGCTGGGGTCCACATGGGCAAGTCGAGGCTGCTGCAGCTGAAGGTGGGCAAGTACCACAAGCTTGTCATCTTTCAGCGCCTGAAGCTCCTCCTCAAGTGCGTTGAGAAGTCGGGCACGTCGTGGGTCAAAAGTTACGTCGACGGGATTTTCTCCCTCCCCTCCCCGGACAACCTGGAGGGAGAGTGTGTGCAGGCGAAGTGCAAGCAAGAAAGGCTCGAGAGCCTGAAGAAGCTGGACAGCTCGGCCCCAGTTGAGGTGCAGCTCGGGCCGTCGGATGGAGGCTCGACGACGTTCAGGGTCACCGACGAGACGCAGCTGAAGGAGTTGCTGGAGTGGGACATGAACGGGAAGGACGCGTGCTCGGTGGTGGAGGAGGTGCTGAGAGACGAGCTGACGACTCGCTTCAACGAGAAGATGCTGAGAAAGACCAAGGGAGGCTTCTGTATACCCTCCTCCTTCCACTCCTCCAACGCTCAGAGCGTCGCCTGGAAGTGCAGGGGGGGCGAGAGGGAGGAGGTGGAGGGGCAGCAGGTGAGTGCTCACGAGTTCGCTGCGAAGAAGCTCCAGGGACTCCCCTCGGCAAGGGAGAGGAAGAGACCGATCCTGCTCACTCTGTCTGACCGCATGAGAACCTTCAGCCTGTCGAAGCTCTTCGGGGAGGACAGGACCACTTGGCCGCAGATCTCGTTTCCCTACGGTCAGGAGGAGGTGGAGCGGTACTTTCAGGTGGAGGACGGCAAGGTGACCGGGGCGAAGGAGGAGGAAGTGGAGGGGTCGATTCGCAACTGGGTTTTCACGGCTTCGTATGAGCGAGATTCAGAGAGCTCGAGGAAGAAGGGGCGGTACGCGTTCCTCGACAGGAGCAGCGCGTTCAAGGAAGGGGGCAGGCAGGTCCCAGTCAGGCAGGTGCTGGTGGTGCGTCCTGACAGGAAGGAGCACGAGGGTCAGTTCAGTGCGTACATCAACGACGCTGGCTCCAGCTACATCATCGTTGCCCTTCCTGCCCGCATGATCATCAGCCGCTCTTTGGAGCAGCTCGGGTTCCGGAACAGCCAGTTCATGGGACAGATGACCGAGGGGGAGAGCCTGGTGTTGACGCCGGAGGTGGGAGGCATCGGGTACGCGAGGTTGTTTTCTCAGCTCTTTGCGTACCTGCTGGGCCTTGACAGGATCTGGATGGTGGACGACAACGTCCTGGAGTGTTACGAGCTTGACCTGAACTGCCTGTACCAGAGCTCCCCTCCCCAGCACCGCACCCAGCCAGCCCCCTGCTCCTTCGCGCGCATCATGCTAAGCATCCAGGACATGTTCGATCAGGAGCAGGGCCTGCCAGAGGCCCTGCTCAAGAATCGTCATGCCGCGTGCCCAACGACTGACAACTTCTTCACGCGCCAAACGCTGCACAAGCAGCAAGTCAGCTGCAAGGCAGTGAGAGGGGAGGAGGCGCAACAGGCGGCAGGAGGTCGGCAGAAGGAGGAGGCGCAGGCAGGAAGCTCGACCGTCAAGTCGAAGAGGGACTTCAGCGGAGACCTGAAGGGGTACGCGGTCATAGGAATCCATAGGAACGTCAACTCGTACTTGAAGGTCAAGAACCCGTTCAAGCTCACCCACAGCGTCTACTCTTTCTTCCTCCTCAACGTCAGGTCCACCATCAGCAAGGGCGTCCTGTACCCGCCGAAGCAGGTGTGGGAGGACGTCGAGTTCAACATCATGTGCGAGGAGCAGGGCCTTGCCGTGCTCAAGATCAACCGTTTCTTCCACCACAAGCAGCATGCAAGCTTCTTCGATAGGATCGAGCGAGCGGCAAGCAACCTCTC